ATTCTGGGAGTTGAAGTCCACTCATCTTAAAGTGGCCAAGTTTGGACAACACTATGCTAGATAATTAGTGGCGCAGTAAATCTAGCGGCTAATAAGCACAGTCTCCCTTCTTTGCCATGATAGAATGCAGAAAGCGGGCCAAGGAGATGTCAGAATCTGGTTTCGACAGTTTGAATAGTACTTTATACAGATATGAGCGGCCTGAACCCTGCTATTGGCCGTCGACCTCTTCAACAAGCACGTGGCTTGCATTGCATATCTCCGTTATAACCAGACCCCAAATTTTGAAAGGTACAGGGATGCCCCTGGACAATAGATAAAGTGAAGCATTATTTTAGAATTTTATTTGCTTTTAGAGGTGTCGTTTATTTTACATACCTTCTGTGGGTGTTATTTAAATATTTGCATTATTCATGTTCATTATTCATTAGTTCCAATATTTAGAAGCTTCGCCGTTCTGTTTCTTGATACATTAAAAAAAAAAACAGTACAGAGAAGTGTGTTTAATGTTGTACTGTCATTGGTAGAGATCTTTATTTAAAAATCAGTAATGAGAGATTGTACCCAGATGATACAAACTAGGAAATGTAGGTATTCTTGATTTCAGTTGATGTTAGTGGTTTTAAGGGCTCCTAATTCTGGTTTGAGTGCATATACTGTACTAGATTATGATAAAGATGTATAGCTTCTGTGAAAGAGATAATGTTTTCCTCTCCATCCAGAAAACCAGGATATAAACTAGCCTGTTTGTTATTTGTTTGTCCTTTCGGAAGATAAATTGTAAAAGTTAACTGTTTCTTTATGTAAGCATTTCTCATTCAGAGTTTAGCTTTACTGGATTTTGAGTTGCATGCCGTAAGAAGTCTGATGTGCCATCTTGTGTCCACTGTTAAATGTGCCAGTAGAAATAATTGCTGGTTTAGGCATTTAGTAGGGTTGATGAGACTTGGAGCACGCTCATTTTTAGAGGCAGCTGTCACTTCTAAAAGCTATTGATGTTTCTCTTGATTAGGAGAGTGGACAGAGGAGAAGGAGTTGTACAACTGAAGTGGAGATGAGAAGATATATTCCCATCATTTGTATTTATTATCTTGCCAGTAAGGCACATTCTCAAGGCGCCTTGGATTACCTAAGCAGCACGGTTGCTCAGAAGGCTGAACCAGAACTAAGATGTGAGAAATAGTTATTGGCTTTAATCCCCAAAGGGAAACTTGTATTTTTATGTCCACTTGGGTGGAAATAATACAATTTTTGGTGGCAACAGCAACAGATCAGAATGTCTGGTTTCAAGAAGGCATTGCTGTTAAATAACAAGCATAATAGGGAGGCAGAGGTAATCCCAGAGAACCTAGCTGGGGAGCAGAAGATTGAGAAAAGCTAATGTACAATGTAAAGGAATTTTTTGCTTGAGTGAATTTGTGTGGAATAAATATTGGAATCTAAGGTTTAAGCAGATTACCACTATAGCCTTCACTGCCCATTGGAAACATCTCAATCTAACAGACTGTCATATTTCTTCTTCTGCTTCTCCTTCATGTTAGTGTTGACACCTGGCAGCTGGCTGGACAAGTCCCTGCAGTTTTCTTTGCAAAATTTTGGAAGTGGTTTGCCCTTGCCTCCTTCCTAGGGCTGAGAGAGAGTGACTGGTCCAAGGTCACCCAGGTGGCTTTGTGCCCAAGGTGGGACTAGAACTCACAGTTTTCCAGTTTCTAGCCTGGTGCCTTAACCACTATACCAAACTGACCCTTGTTATATTGCTTGGCAGTTATGAATACCAGTGGCTCAATCCTGGCTAAAAGGCAGGTGCATCTTCTGCAAACCTTAGTAAACCTCTTTAGTAGCAAACCTCTTCCACAAATGAACAAATTCCTCCAGGGATAGGAATTAAAGGGTCATGTGTTCCTCTCAGTTTGTAGACTGGTTTGGTTTTAGTGGTTGTAAAGACTAACTATGCCTGTTAATGTTTTATGGCATGTACTCTCCTATGTTTCTGATCATTTTTCCCTGTCCTGCCTTTTTCTCTTTTATACAGGATGCCTTTGTGGAGCTGTACAGCAACAACATCAGGCCTTTGTTTGATTTGTCATGGCTGCCTCTGAAGACGATCCTTAGTCTAGCAGTTGTGGGGGCCTGCATTACCCTGGGTGCTTACCTGGGACATAAGTGACTTTGGACTTCATCCAACTGGTGATGGATTGATGGGAAGTCTTTGTTTCAAAAACTGAGAAAAGAGGAATGTTGAAAGAAGAAAATAATATGTGTTTTTCCCCCTTGTCGAATAATGCTATTATTTTATGAGCCAAGTATCTTTCTGTATAAGTGTCTGGGTGTGTTTGGGTGTACACACACACACACACACACACACACAAATATATATGTATTTGTGTGTATACATAAACACACACACACACACACATCTGCTATTACTGCCAAAGGGAATATTCATTTATTTTTTACATTGCAGAGGAGTTATTTATTAAAAATATTTTACATTTAACCCACTATTTTCCTAAAATTCTGGAACACAAGCATTGTATATTTTGTAATGAAGATTCCAAAGATCTTCGGCTTCTTTGAAAAGCATCATTCAACAGACTATTTTATCACAGTAGGCTGAAGAACCGTAGGTATAGAGACATGCGTAACCCTTAGGAGGGGTGATGATGCAGTGGCATAATTTTGTAGTTAAGATTTCAATTCTGCCTATGAATAGGGTGACCTTAAAAGGCAACAGGATGAGAAGACAATGATTTGGTGGTTCAGCATGGTACCTATTCAGAATGAGAAATAATGCCAGATTCAGGCCAGTAATAAGCCCATATTGTTCAACAGTCTGTCCATATAGCCAACAGCTGGTTTTGGAAAAATCCCCAGCAGGGCAACAGCTGGAAACAGTGATTCATGCAGTATTTTGTTACAGGAGTGCTGTGCCATTATACACCACAATTGGCCATCATTATAAGGAAACTATTTGTGTGTCCTCAAACTGTGATTTAAAAGCCTGAAATGAAATACGTTGGAATTGCCAGAAACTGTTTCATTAAATATTTCATCTGTAAAATTGCCATTTTGTGCAATTATCAGGAAACCGAAAGTGCCTGTGTCTGCCTTGCAGAACTGGAGCCTGGAAGTAAGTCATGGCTCACATTCCCAGTGGAGTGAGTGTTTACTTGCAGTAGATCCTGCCTTACTTAGTTAATTTTTCTTAGGGTCTTAAATGCAATTTTCTTTGTTAATTAATAACATCTCAAAGTCAAAAATAGGCTCAAGGTCCATTTGGCAAGAAGAAGAAGCAATCAGCTGGCAGAGATTAGGTTTGACTTCCTTTTTGTATCAAAATTAACACCCAAATTACATTCTTAGCCCTGTGCCTGTCCCAGATTGGAAATGTATTTGCCTCAGAAGTGATGCACACTATTTATACCTTCAGAAGTCTTCAAAGGAAAAGAAGATAAAGAAATGGTCCAACGCCTCCATCTGGTGTGACTCATAGACACTCAGCCCTTTGAGATGCCACATTTTTGCATGGAAATCTGGAAAGGAAAGGGAGTGGAGAATTTGTTACAATAACTTTAAGCAAAATGAATATAAAACACTCCATGAGTAATTTAGGTTCTTTGATTATAAATATATAGGTGGCATATAGGCAGAGCTGCTGGCACCTTGACTCAACATCATCAGGCACCTACCGAGGTTTATGTTGTGGGAAGGTGTCCCACCCCAACTGCCTGAGCCCCCATGACCTATTTGCTGTTCCTGTGCATTCATCTATTATCCAAAGCGTACAAGTACCAATGAAGCAAAGAGAAGTTGTAGCTGCCTCCAGTTGTCTTGACTTCTCCTTCTGGCTCCTGATTCAAATTAGGCTCAGAGGGAGATAGCAAATGAATGAGGCAGTGGTGGCAAAGAAATGGCCTTCCCAAGTGTGTGGGCTTACTGGGCATTGTGCCCCCAAATCCCCAAATAATAATTAAAAACTGGCAATATCTAAGAATGTAACCAAGGATGCAGTGGACTCTGTTGATGAAGTTGTTTAAGAGCAACATAGCTACTGATTTGTTGGACTGCCTGAGCTGGACTGAGCCACAGAAGGAGGAAAATTGATAGAATGATAACATTCAGATCTGGTTGTCTCTTGGTCAAAGGCAGCTCCAGGTAGCATTCATTCCAGTAGTCCATTGTTCCATCTTAACAGAACTGCAGCAGTCCATTTATATCACCAGATTAAATAACTGGCCAGAGTGAAAAGAAGCATGTGTGCACAGCTCGGACTTCTGCAAATGTTCTGGACTTTGCTGTTGGGTTCAGCACTGGAGAGTCTATACAACTCTTGGATTAGCTTGCAAAGGTGTTTGGGTTGCTGCAGGGGAAATGCCAGAAAGGACTCAGCAAGTACAAAGATGCCAACTTGCAGTTTGTTCCTTGGATCACAGGCAATGTATTTCAGATTTGTGAAATAGATATTACATGAGGGGCATAATAGATTCCGGGATGAAAATCAAGACTGAAAGGATCAAAAGCTTAAGTTAAATGGGATGGACATATTTGACTTCTATGAATTTTTATCTTGTTTATTTTTTTAAAGTGTTTTCTTTCCATTTTTTAAAAAAAGTTTGTCTGTAAAACTGTAAAGAAGTAGAAGTTATAAAATATTAATTCAGTGATAAAAAGTCTGGACTGAAGTACAGTCATAAAAAGCTTTGTACTCAAGAGAATGTAGCAAAATAATTCACAGAAACAACATATGTAAGAAGTGAAATAACTTGATTTTGTGGCATTATATGCAAAAAAAACAAAAAAACAAAAACCCTAAGGTCAGCCTTCTCTAACCTGGTACTTGCTAAAGTGTGTTAGATAATATTATCACCTTCAGAGTTCTTTCTGACTAAAAGGCCAGCATGTAAGTTTAATAAACAAATAATAACCAGCTACCATTGACTTGCTGCTTAGTGATGGTAGTTGTAGTACCAAAACAACGGTTGGGCACCAAGCTAGAAAGGCTGATCTCAGAAATGTAGTACTTCTAAAATTAAAACTGTAGTCCAGTCTTACCCAGCCTGGTGCATTCCAAATGTATTGGACCCTCCGTGGTCAAAGGGAATTCTGGGAATTGAAGCCCCATCGCTTCTGAAGAACACCAGGATGGGAAAGGCTGCTGTGGTTTGTACCATGTTTTCAAAGCTGCTTTAAAAAGAAAATGGGCCAAGTCCATCAGGAAGCTATCTTTTTTCAGCTTCCACTCCCGCACATGAGAACTTTCTGGTAGGCTGAGCCCAGAGTTTTTATGCATGTTAACGTTGCTGTAGTTACTATACAGTTATGGCCTTTGCATCCAACATTTCAAGAGCATCAGTGAAATGAGCTCTTACATTTCATAGCAGAAAGAATCGTATAAAGATATGGGATTGAATTCTAATTTCTAGATACTGGGCAATGTGTGTTGCAGCTTCACTTTATTTAGCTTTGCTAAACCTAAAAACGTTTATTAACATATATTAAAACTGTAGATTTATAAATAGCAATTCTGTGGAAGTCAGGTGCATTTAGGTTCTGTAGAAGTTCAGGCATTTAAGCGGTGCCTAGAAACTACTGGAATGTCCAAAGAGTCAAAACATGTAAGGAAATGACCCAACACTTTTCCAACTAGCCTTCAGTTAAACAATATCGGTGTATAGAAGGAATGCCATAAAAGCTGTGCCTTTGCATTCCACAAACAGGCTTCAGGTCACTGAAGCTCTGAGATGCAGTGATTTACATCAGTGTTTCAAGCTAAAGTTTTACCAAAGAACTGGTTCACATATGCTACTTATCATATGATTTCTCATTACTTGGTCACTTGGCATTTAACAACTATCAACCCAATCCTAGGCTGAGACTGACTCATTCAATTGACTTAAGTTTGCAAAACTGTGCTTAGGATCAGACTGTCACTTCAATGTACAACTCTCCTTGCACTGGAGAATATGGACATTCTATTGGGGATTAATTTGTGATGTACCCCTGGCGTCACAGTCAAGTAGTAATGAACATGTATGTTTGAACTAGTTCCTTAATTCACCCCCTTGGGTAACTAAGTCTTAAGAATGCTGCCAGAAGCTTGAAGAGAATGACAAAAAATAATTGGGGGTCAGTACTACATCAGAGGCTGCATGCTTTCAAATGTGTCGTAGTAGAACTTGGGGCAAGGAAGGAGATGGATCTAAGCTATAGCAACAAGTATCGTTCTCGCTATTGAACTGTTGTAAAACCTTCAGATCTGGTGTAGTGCCTCACCTCATATGCAAGAAAGTAATTATATGTGAGCCAAGTGAAATATTTTAGAGTAGTCAGCCTTTCAAGAAACTGTTTAATTAGTGTGGCTAGAATAGAAATATGGAAGTATCATTCACCTATTTAATAGGGCAGAATAATGATGTTCCTCTTAGAGGTTGTGTGAGCATCTCAGCATAAAGGCTTATGGGACAAGACAGCATGGAGCACTCTCAGCACATTCTCTTCTTCATTTTGAGATGGGGATCCTAAATTCCTCTTCTTAAAAGATTGTACTACCGGTCTCAAGCATCCTCAGTAAGAACGGACTGTTTTTGAACGAAACGTTTACATTGTCAAAGTAGAACGCTATCGGAGCTAGGAATGGCTATGCTGCTAGAAAACAGTAATTCTTGGAACAAAGTTGATTTTCTTGTATTGCCCAATGCTGAGATTGTTTTCAGAGCTGCTTCAGATGTCATATAAAATAATCACATTGCGGGCATGTAAATAGATGCTACTGGTGGATGTTCTCCTGTTTTGTTGGTTTTTGTCCCCTTGGGCTTCTTGGTATCTTAAGTATCTGTATATCAGAGGAGCCCAAATGGCTGTCAGTAGTCTCTGTCTTTAATAGATGGCCAGTAGTGTGTACCCCACTTCCCACCCCCACCCCCTTGTTGCTGCAAATTGTATAATACTGTGGCTGCACTCGCTATAAGGACTGTTGATATTGATACTGTACTATTCAAGTTGAACGTATTTTAGAAATGTTGAATGTATATAAAAGCTTGATTTTACCTATCTTCTCAGCTGTTTCACCATGATTGCTAGTTCTTCCTGTTTTTCTCTGGTGCTTTGTTTTGATTTAAGAGGAAAATCCTGCAAAACACAGCTTTTAGTGCTATAAATGATGTAACATTATAGAGACTTTTTCATTCACGTTGCACTTTGCAATTTCCATCCCATTTCCCTCTCACAGTTATCTTGTGGAATATTTCATATTGTGGCTGGAAAACAAAAACTCAACCTGTAGTCTTGTATCCACTTACTGGTGTAAAAGTCTTGCAGAACTGGACTTTCTTCAGGGCTGAAGTGAACAGAATTGTGCTGATGGCAACTCTTTCCAGGATAAATTATGGGCTCATGGCAGGGCTGAGATTTGCACTT